TGGAAGAATCACAGCAGCAGAGTCAAGCGATGGTGCTGGACCGGGGGGCGGGGGAGGGAGGCTGTAATGAGGGGGGGGGGGCTTACCAAGTAGAGGTGGTCGAAGATGAGGGAGGGCTTGTCCATCTGACCCAGGATGAGCAGCATCTCATTGTCGATGAATTCCTTGAACTCATTCAAATTGCAGCTCATCTGCTTCTCCAGCTGGTTCCGGATCTGCCGAGAGAGGGAAGGGAACTCAACTCAGGGGACAGGCTGAGGGAGGGCAGCTTTGGTGAAGGAAGCCCCCAGCCCCCAGCCCCCGTCCTCTTGGGTTTACTTCTTTGGAAGTCACGTTCTCCAGATCTTTGCTCATCATGATGCTCCGCAGTTGGGCCTTGATCAGCCGTTCTGCCCTCTCTCGCTCGGTGGGCCTGGAAGGGAGGCAGGAAGAAAGGGAGGCCGGAGTTGTGGTGGGCTGCAAATCCAGACAGCTACCCTTCCAACAAAGCATTCCCAGAATTCCCCAGAAGGACAGAAAGCTGGGACAAACGGTGAGCCTCTGCCTCCCCTTCTTGCTGAAGGAGCAGAAGCAGTTGGGATTCCTCAGAGTAGCATCCCAAATTTAACCAGAAGCGAGTCAAGGAAGGGAACTTCTGAAGGACTGAGCAAGGATGGTTAAGAGACCCACAACCAAGCCTGTAGAAGCCCCTGGTTCTCTCCAACACAACCTCTGGTATGCCTGTGTGGCCACACATACATATCCTACATATCCCTTACATATCCTAAGGGATGGGTCTTAGAGGCTGGCAGCTATGGATGAGCCTCGGCCAATAAAGCCAACCCCACATCCTCCGTCTTCCTGCCTGAACATCTTAGCCTCTGTTTGAAGAAGCGGGTTGGTGATGCTCAGGATGCTGACTCAACCTCAAGGCCTCCTAGAGGACCCAGGGAGAGACGCTCCCCAATGCCCTTTCTGTGTTCCTCCTCCTTTCACTTTGGAGTGAGGCGAGGAAGGACGCCACTTTCTCAAAGGCCAGAGGGGACAAACCCTTTGCCCAGAAGGTCACGGCAAGGGAAGTACGGGAAGGGACCCACTTGTCCATGTAGAGAGCAGGCGAGTCGGGGCGTGGAGACTCCAGGTCTTGCATGGCGTTCCACTCGTTGAGGCAACTCTGCTCGGAGGCGATGCAGCTCTCGTAGTAGGTGGCCCAGACAAGCGCCATCCCCCCCGGGAAGTAATTGTGCCTCCGAGCCATCTCGCAAGCCTTGTGGAGGATCTGCAAGGCAGACCTACGAGGGGAGGAGACCCAAAGAGAGACTGCTCGGCACCCCGAACAGGAGGAGGTCCAGCCAAGCAGGCACAGAGGAGGACCGCGGCTGAATCAACAGGCGCAGTGGAGGCATCCGATGACTGAAAGAGCGGGTGAGGCCAGCCACGGACCGCCTGGGGCCCTGCAGCGGCCACTGAAAAGCGGCTTCAGTCTCTGCAGGGGGAGGAGGAGGAGAGGGGAGAAGGGAGTGGCTCACCACATGGCTTGCACCGAGACGGGTTTGAAGATGTGGGTCTTGCCCGCCGTGCTGACGCTGAACCCGCTATCAAAGAGAGACAAAAATCAATACAGGCCAGGGTGTTGCTCTTCCCACGGAAACACACTGCAGCACCTTCCAACGTAGGTGACAATTTGATATCAAACCGTAAACGGAAGGGCCTGGGCAATAAAACTCTGCCCCCCAACCTTAGCAGGTGTATCTGTCCCAGAGCAGAAGGGCCCCCGACTGCCATAGATTGGGACTCCTTGGCACGGCTTTACATTTTAAAAAGGTGACAATAGAATCATAGAGTTGGAAGGCAGTGTGCAAGTTCCAACTTCCTGCCAGACGGGCGGGAGACCCTCCACTCTTCCAGACAAGGGGTTGTCCGGCCTCTTCTTCAAAGCCTCCAAGGATGG